CCCGATTTTCATTACTGTTTTTCACTCTATCTTTTAACACTTTTAGTCAACAATCTTTCCTTCCCATTTCTTTTTTTTTGGTTACATTTTATTTAAGAAACCAAGTCTTTGGTCTGCAGAATTTCTTGCATTCTGGACTTTGTGGATTGCTTTGCATCCCTCTGCAGTTTCACAGGCCCTCCTGTATTTCCTGTGAATGGGTACTGAGCAATACTAATAGAACTTCTGTGATGAGCGGAATGTATATCTGAGCTGTGGGTTGTGGCTACTTGTGGCTACTGAGCTCTTTAAATGTGGCCAGCGAGACTAGAGAACTAAAATTTTAAATTTTATTTAATCTTAATTAATTTAAATAGCCACATGTTTCTAGTTACCTTATAGACAAAACATCTAACGGTTGGATAGGATTTACATTTGATTTTTATTTTGCGGCAAAACTGCTTCCCAGGTGGTGGGTGGTGTTTTCTCATTAGGAGGCACATAAAGACTGGTTGTGTCCTTTTAATGATGTTAGACGTTATCAGTTGTTGGTGCTCAATGCCTAGAACCATCAATTTCTTAAGAACATAGAGTGATGTTCTATTCAATAATTTCTCTTTATTTATTAGCTGTAATACTTATTTAAAGAGAAACTTTTTCTCTTCTACTATTCAGTTATCCACTTCTATATACATAAGGTAAATGCTCGATTTGTTTTTTGGAGATGGAGTCTTGCTCTGTCACCCAGCCTGGAGTGTAATGGTGCAATCTCAGCTCACTGCAACCTCTGCCTCGCGAGTTCAAGCAACTCTCCTGCCTCAGCCTCCTGAGTAGCTGGGTTTACAGGTGCCCACCACTGTGCCCGGCTAATTTTTGTATTTTTAGTAGAGATGGTGTTTCACCATGTTGGTCAGGCTGATCTCAAACTCCTGATCTTGTGATCCGCCCACCTCAGCGTCCCAAAGTGCTGGGATTACAGGAGTGAGCCAACGCCTCTGGCCCATTCTTGATTTTTTAATCAGTTTTTCCAAAGGACACTTGTTAGTAAGTTTCACTGTGGTGTCATGGATATAAATGTAGTTGATGTGCCTGGTGCTGCTGCACCTGTTATCCTTATTGAAACTCCTCTTTATCCCACCTGTGGCCTGTAGGAGTCTCTGCATGCCAACTCCTGAGTTCTTATGTGACGATCATAGTCATCCTTGATCAATTCTTGCTCTGTGATGTCAGAGAGCTCTTGGAATTAGCCATAAGAAGTCCTGATTTCTTTTAGTAGAAAATGGTATTTCAACATGACGGCCTAGGCATAGGAATGCTTACTGCCATGAGTTGGTCATTACTTCTAGGCCTTCTCAGCTACCCGAACCAGGAGAGTTCTTATAGATATTTCCAGTTCACATTCAGGAATTCAGAATTCCTATTCATTCTTCCACTGGAGAATTATTCCCTGGTTGAATCAGAAGATGATGAAATTAGAGAATCACATAATTACTCATTTGCTTTATCCCATATTATACACAAAATAGTGTCAGAATAATATGATTACTGAAAACAGTTAAATAATATTTTCCCTCATATACTCACTCATTTCTCTTTTCAAAAGTGATTGTGCCATTTTACTTACCCACTGGCACTGTATGTGGCTTCCAGTTTCACCACTTCTTCACCAGCACTTGTTATTATCTGTCTTTTTGATTATAGCCATCCTAGAGGGGATGAAGTTATATCTCATTGCAGTATTGACTTGCATTTCCCTGATAGATAATGATGTTGAACATCTTTGCATGTGTTTATTGACTGTTTGTATATATTCTTCATATTGTTTGCCCATTTCAAAAGTTGGATTACTTAGTTGTATGTGTTGTTTATATATCCTGGATATAAGTCCCTTATCAGATACATAATTCTCAAATATCTGCACCCATTTTATAGGAATTAAGTTTTCAAACAGATGGGTTTAGATTAACAAGTATCAAGACCAACTTTGTAAACTACTGTTTCATTGCATCACCTTAGAAACCTTAATAAAATTGAAAATTAGTTGAGTTAGTAATTATCTGTTTGTTTGCTTATGAGGTTAGTATACTAGTAGTATTTAATACTTTCTCTAGTTGCTGCTTAATGTGTTTCATCTCTGCAGTTACACTGTCTCCATCAAAGGTAAAGTTATTTCCTAGACTCATTTGGAATGAGAATATCCATGAAAGTGGGAAATATTTAAAGGCAAGTTGTTGCCTACTGCCATTTCTTAGAGTTGTTTTGCTGAGTGATTGGAACATCTCACCTAAGTACTCACTTTTCTGCATAAGGCTATGAACAGTCTCAGAGATTGTTTCGTGACTGGAAAGTGGGAAGATGAAAAAGATGCAGCCAAGGTCTTAGCAGAAGATGGTAAGTAAAGAGCTGGGTTCTTCAGGAAGACTGGCTTCTCAAACTTTATTTTCTTCTGAATCTTAGACAATAGTCAAATTGAAAATCATAGTCACTTGTGAAGTGCTTTGGGGAATTCAGACAGGAGTAATGAGCCAGGTAATATTCCGGATTTTCCTTTTATGATGATCTTATTTTCTCAGTTGGCTAACTGATTTACTACATGTGGACCTTAAAAGTGAGCAACTTTCCATAAATTTTATCATGTATTTGTTAAAAATAGATTTTGTGTGATGTGAAAAATATACACAAATAGCATTTATATTTTGCTTTTGATAATAAAGGTAGTATGCATTGTGGAAAATTTAGAATGAAAAATACAGAACATACCGGAATTCTATCAACCTATAAGGAAACCTTTGTTAACTTCTTGAAGTATTTACTTCTAGTCACTTAAAAATCATGTGTATAAACCTTTTTAGTTGTACTTTATATAACTTTTGAGAGGAGGATTGCTTAAGTGATGTACTTTATATAAATTTTGTCATCAAATTTTTTCAAAGGTTTCATTTTTATTATTTGAATATCATACCATAATTCAAGTCACAATTTTTTCAACATCTAAGTAGTTTTGTACTTTGCTCATTTTATAAAGAACTCCACACTGAACAACTTTGAAATAATTCTTGGCTCACACTTTTTATGCTCCGTTACCCAGGCTGGAGTGCTTTGGTGTGGTCACGGCCCACTGCAGCCTCAGCCTCGCAGACCCAAGTCTCCTGAGTAGCTAGGACCACAGGCATGCAACACTATCCCCAGCTAATTTTTTAATTTTTTTGTTCCGACAGTCATTTTCTGTTGTCCAGGTTGATCTCAAACTCCTAGGCTTAAGAGATCCTCCTGCCTCAGCCTCCCGAGTAGCTTGGACCACAAATGTATACCACCATGTCTGGCTAATTTTTAATTTTTTTGTACAGATGGGGGTCTTGCCATGTTGCCTAGGCTGGTCTTGAATTCCTGGGCTTAAGCAATCCTCCCACCTTAGCCTTCCAAAGTGCTGGGATTATAGGCATGAGCCACTGTGCCTAGTCTGTAGTATTTTAATGTATTCTTTACATATATACAATTTTTTTCCTGGACTTTCTAGTTTATATCATTGATCTCTGTTGGTTCATTTATTATTACTATAATTTAGAACCCTATGTAGCTTTATCACGTTATTAAGACACCAGTTATTAAAACTGTGTCTCAACAGTTTCTTTCTCTTTTTGTTCTGCTGGAGGGCTTTTTTAAGGATTCTCCTGACTATTCTCACTTCCTTAGGGTTTTTTCCATAGGAACTTAAGAATCGTCTTTTGTTTTCAAAAGAAAGTGTGGTGGGTTTCTTTTTAAATCACTTCAGTGAGGTATAATTGATGGTAAACTACAGTGTTTAAAGTGTACAATTTGATAAGCTTTAATATGTGAATATACCATCGCCACAATCAAAATAATGAACACATTTATCACCCTCACAGTTTTCTTACGCCACTTTGTAACCCTCCATCCTGTCCTCTTCCATCGCCAGGTACATTCAGCTGCCTTGTGTCACTATTCAGTAGGTATTCCCTTTAGAATTTAATCAAAATGGGATCCTACAGTATGTGCTCTTTTCTGTCTAACTTCTTTTTCTCAGCATGATTATTTCAAGATTCATCCATGCTGTTGCATCTTCATTTCTTTTTGTTGGCTAGTGGGTAGTCCATTGTATGATGTGTAGCAATTTATTTATCTGTTAACCTGTTGATAAACAATTATTTCCAGGTTTTGGCTATTATGAGTAAGGTTGCTGTGAACATTTTTGTAGAAATCTTTATATGAACCACCACTTTTATTTCTTTTGGGTAAATAAGTAGTTCAGAATGGACTAAATGGGTCATATGATAGGTACACATTTAAGTTTTTAAGAAATTATCCAACTGTTTTCCAAAGTGTTTACACCATTTTCCATTGCCACCATAACTTTATGTGACTTCCGGTTGCTTCACTCTACATCTTTGCCAGTACCTGGTAGTGTCAGTCTTTTTAAATTGTAGAACCTTCTTTTAGGCATAGAGTAGCATCTTGAAGTTTTAGTGACTAATGGTATTGGACATTTTTTCATGTGCTTATTTGCCATCTGTGTCTTCTTTGATGAAACATCAAATCTTTTGCACATTATTTTAATTTGGTTACATTCTAAGAAATTTTATGTATTTTCGATACAAATTCTGTATCACATGTGATATGCGATTATTTGTGCCTAGTGTGTGCCATGTCTTTTCATATTTTTAATAGTTTTTCACAAAGCAAAGTATTTAATTTTGGTGTAGGTCAATTTATCAAAATTTTCTTTTTCTTTTCTTGAGATGGAGTCTTGCTCTGTCTCCCAGAGTGCGATGGGATCTCAGCTCACTGCAACCTCTGCCCCCTGGGTTCAAGTCATTCTCCTGCCTCAGCCTCCCTAGTAGCTGGGATTACAGGCACCCACCACCACACCCAGCTAATTTTTGTATTTTTAGTAGAGATGGGGTTTCACCATGTTGGCTAGGCTGGTCTTGAACTCCTGACTTCAGGTGATCCACATGCCTCGGCCTCCCAAAGTGCTGGGATTACAGGCATGAGTCACTGTGCCCTACCCAAAATTTTCTTTTATGGACTATGCTTTTGATACTGTATGTAAGAAATCTTTGCTTCATCTAATGTCACAAATTGTCTTTTATATTCTACAAGTCTTACAGTTTCAGGTTTTACATTTAGCCCTATAATCCTTCTTGAGTTAATTTTTTTTTATGGTGTTGGGTATGGATTTAGGTTCCTTTTGACATATTGATATCCACTTTTCCCAGCCCCATCTGTTGAAAGACCATTTTTTCCCCATTGAATTAGCCTGTATTGGTTGGCCATATATGGATGAATATTTCTGGGCTCTCTGTTCTGTTCCTTTGATATATTTGTTTATTTTTATACCAATACCAACATTGTCTCAGTGACTTACAGCTTTATACTTAGTCTTGGAATTAGGTAGTTTTCAACTTTAGGTAGTTTTGCAAACTTTAGTCTCTTTTTCAAAGTGGTTTTGGTTAATCTAGGTTCTTTGCATTTTCATATAAATTTTAAGATGAGCATGTCAATTGCTACCAAAAAGTCCACTGCAATTTTGATTGGGATTTCATGAAACTTGTAAAACAATTTGGGAAAATTGACATATTAACCACGTTGACTTTTCTGATCTATGAACATAGTAACTCTCCATTTTTCTTGTTCTTTAATTTCTCTCAACAAGGTTTTCAGGATACAGGTCTTATACAACTCTCAACAATTTATTTTCATATCAACTCGTATTTGTGTATGGCTAACATGTAAGAAATACAGTTTATTTTTTATATTGCTCTGTATCCTGCAATATTGCTAAATTACTCATTAGTTTGTATTTGTTTGTTTGTTTGTTTGGGACAGAGTCTCTCTCTCTTTGTCACCCAGGTTGGAGTGCAGTGGTGTGATCTTGGCTCACGGCAGCCTCTGCCTCCCAGGTTCAAGCAATTCTCATGTCTCAGCTTCCCAAGTAGCTGGAATTACAGGCAGCCACCACCACGCCTGGGTAATTTTTGTATTTTTAGTAGAGATGGGGTTTCACCATGTTGGCCAGGCTTGTCTTGAACTCCTGACCTCAAGTGTGTATTTGGAGGGGAGGGGTAAACTTTGACTAAAGAGTGTTGATGGTTTTCTAAGTAAATACTTCTTCCTATCCTAAGGATTGTTTTCTTTTATGCTGCTTTTTCTCCTCTTCTGCACAATAAAGCCTGGGGTTCCAACTTCTGCTTTGATCTTTCACTCTGGTCTAATCTCATATGGTTCTCCCAATTTCTGTGCAGGATGGTTCTGGGAGCCGAGCAGGAGCCTTCTTTCTCTACAGAGAGGCTAAGATAGATGCCAGTGGTTTTACTTTCTTTCTTTCCTATCTGGATGACTTAACTTTTCTTGCCTTACTGCCCTGGCTTAAACTTTCAGGACAGTGTGGATAAGAAGTCAAAGTAAAAATCCTTGCTTTGTCCTGATTTTGCTTATTTTCCAAGTGAACTTAAGAATCACCTTTCCTATTTCCAAAAGAAAACTTTTTGGTATTCTTTTTTCCTAAGAAAACTTTTAATTTTGAGGTAATTGTAGTTTGACATGCACTTGTAAGAACAAATACAGAGAGATCTCCCGTATCTTGTACTATAGCACTATCTGTGTATATATGTACCATATATACTATGTGTACTGTAGTACAAGGTCACAGCCTGGATGCCAACATTGATACAATCTGCTGATCCTATGTAGATTTTTCCAGTTTTACTTGTGTGTGTGTGTGTGTGTGTGTGTTTTACGTGTGTGTGTACTTCTGTGCTCTTTTATCACATGTGTAGGTTTGTGTGTCTACCAACAGTTAAGATACAGAGCAGTTCCATCACAAGGATCGCTTGTATTGCTGTTTTATAAAATACCCACACCTCTGCTGTTCCCCAGCCCCCAGTTCCTTCCCTTGTGAACCATAGTGTGTTTTCTGTTTCTACAATTTTGTCATCCTCGAGAATGTTAAATAAACAGAATTATACAGTCTATAATCTTTTGGGAGGGGCTTTTTTTCACTCAGCATAACTTCCTGGAGATCCATTCATGTTAGTGTATGTACCACAGTTCATTCCTTTTTATTGCTGAATAGTGCTGCATTGTATAGGTGTACTGGTTTGTTTAACCATTCATCTGAGATCAAGCTGGGTTGTTTTCAGTTTGTTTTGTTCTGTGTTTTTTAAAGAAAGGGTCTTGCTCTGATGCCCAGTCTGGGGTGCAATGATGCGATCTTGGCTCTCTGCAGCCTCGACCTCCTAGGCTTAAGTGATCTTCCCACATCAGCCCGCCAAGGATCTGGGACCACAGGCATAGACTACTGCACCTGGCTAATATTCATATTTTTTGTAGAGACAGGATCTTGCTGTGTTGCTCCGGCTGGTCTTGAACTC